TGCATTGGGGCTCTTGACGGAAAGCATGTTAGGATTATGTTACCTAAAGATTCAGGATCCATGTTCTATAATTATAAATCCTTCTTTAGTATTGTGCTACTTGCACTAGTAGATGCAAATTATAAATTCAGGTATATTGATGTTGGCAGCAATGGAAGAGTTAGCGATGGCGGGGTTTATAGAAACGCATCTTTGAGTACAGCCATGGCTGAAAATAAATTAAACATTCCAACTGGACGAAATCTGAAGGATGCAGGAAAGACCAATTCTATGGTAATAGTGGCAGATGATGCATTTCCGCTCAAAACATATATAATGAAACCATATCCCGGGCGTGGTTTGAATCGCAGCAGACGTATTTTTAATTATAGGCTATCAAGAGCTCGACGAGTTGTGGAAATGCTTCGGCATATTGTGTAATCGGTTCCGTGTTTATCACACAACAATATCACTCTCTCCTGAAAAAACTGAACTTATTATACTGGCTACTTGCACCCTTCATAACTACCTGTTGAAGGACACCCCTGAGTATATGTTTGACCGAGAGGATCCACAGACTCATCATCTCACAGAGGGTCAGTGGAGAAGAAATACCCAAACGATGACTAATTTGGAACATCATGGCCCAAACAAAAGTGCTTGCGATGCTCGGCTTGTCAGAGATGAATTGTGTGAATATTTCGAGAGTAAAGAGGGAGAAGTTTCATGGCAATGGGATATAGAATAAACTCAAAATATACTATGAATGTGATGAAACGTACATGTGAAATGTACTTACAATATTTGATGTGGTTTTTCTGGCCACCATATATGGTTGTAAAAAAAGCAACGCATTGTAGTAGGTCCAGACTGACTGGTAGCCCTCATCTGCACCAGCTCCACTTTTTGTTGTACTTTCTTTGCGAAGTTCTCGCGAAAAATATGTCCTAATATTCTGTATTTTCTTTTTAACTTCACCTGCTGCAAAATAAATAAAATTACTGATAAATATACTTTGGCGTTTTTATTACATTACGATCTAATACATTATAAATAAATTTCGTATAAAACATTAAAATAAGAGTCGTAGCATGAATGATGAAAGATCCCTCAGTCTTGATATTGGCAGTACGTACAGTTACAGTATGTGGTAGTGTACATACAGTATGTACAGTCTACTCGACATTGGCAGTATGTCTGGTCTGACTCGATGTTCTAATTAGGATTGAGTTTGTGACAAATCTATCGCGCATATGTACGCGCTCACCAATATCATTAAAAGCAACAATGTTCATCATGAATTAATGAAACCCCCCTGCCCAGCTAACACAAAAACGTTC